AAAATATCGGATTTGTGCCGTTCACACTGTCATACCATGATCGGATAGATGGGTCGCACAGAGTCAAAAAAAATCGGATTTGATGCACTTTCGCCTGCAGTGTGAACGCAGCCTAACTGCCATTCCTTAACTGTGATTCCTCCCCTGAGCATCCCTCTGTTTTTATCCAGTTTTATGTAGACTGCACAGCTTTTCAACCTTAGTTATCACAACACTGCCAACAAAGAAAGAAATGTGTCACTGCAAGTCAGAGGTGAAAGTTGAGCTGAGAAGACAAAGCGGTGCCATCCAGTCTCACGTTCAACATTCAGTCTGGATTGTAGAAACTACTTCCTCCCACACAGTGTGAGTCGGAGACTGTGCCACAATCAATTGTTTTTTGTGGGGTCTTTTATTATCATAGAATTAATTATTAATCTGAGAACGATGGTTATTTTAAACCCTATTTTTTCACATTTTCCTGCTGTGTACCTCTTACTTTAACCTCAGCAGCCCAAAGCAACCCCTTGTATTTCTTGTCTGATCAAATTGCACCATGTGGGACCTCTGTGACAGGGGACTTTTATCTAAAAGTTACATGTAAGAATCCTACATTCCAATTTACCTTATGAACAGTACAAAAGGATTAGCAATGAATTTAAAGTAAGTCACTAAATGTTAGAATTGGCTGGTTGGTGTGTGCTGAACAGGGCTGATACTTTATACATGCATGGCTTCATAAGACTGGTTGAAACAGGCAAAGTAACTGACATGTATGTTTACATTTACTGCATGTTTTACTTCTCAGAGTGAAACTGAAACGTTCACTTTTAGCAACTGCATTTTGCGCATGCTTTCAAAACTACTTAGATTTTTGTTTTGTAATGTAAAAGTATGAACACCACACTGTACACTGCATACAAGGTTGTATGCAAAAGAACTGCATTCCATACATGCGTGTAATTATTTTTAGTAAGTGCTGGGGAAGTATCAAAGGCTTGATTGTCAGACTAATAATTCATTTTTGTTGACTTAAAGTAAAACATCAAAGTGATTAAATTGATTAAAACAGCCTGTATAAGTGAAAAGATGTGTCACGAGTTTAAAATTGATCAGGTTTAAAAGTTGTACCAATGCACCACTGCAATGACCATGTTATGTCTGCCAAACCCCCACGACCCCCACGACCCCCACGACCCCCACCTCCTTATTGTGATATTTTGCCTCAGGCTTTCTGCAGGTCTTTGGAAATACGTTTTTAACTCATTTTCAGCGCGGTCCTTGTCTCTGACCGTGTCTTTTAATTGTTAAGCCACTTCACACAAAACTAAGAACCATTCAAACATAAGGCACCTAACTCAAGGGATGAACTGGTGTTATGTCTACACAAAAGACAACTTGCTAAAAAGAACTATACATAGTATCTTTAGGCACTTTTCTTCTTAGCAGCCTGTCACAAAACAATAAAACAAAACATAATTTGACCCCATTTCTTTAGTTGAATCGATGAAAATTACCGATATGAGGGCAGATGTGAAGGAACTATCAAAAGAAGTGGCACTATATAAAAATGCATTTATAGCAGATGAACAGTATCTGAAAGTCATGTCTTTAAGCAATAGAAAACAAGCCAGATCTGAGGTCCAGATCCAGACAGGACCTGAGAGATGCATCTTGCAGTTGAGCCACTGTTTGCTGTAGTCTCATCAGAAATGATCTGAGTGGAAGGGAAACGGAGAAAAGGCCACGGTATGTCAAACTGCACATAAACTTGACTAAAAATCAACAAAAGATGTTAACTACTCGGTTTGAATGATCGTTAATATGTAAGGAAGAGATCAGGAGAGCGGTACAACAGTAACTGGAAAACACAGTGGCGTCTTCTTTTTTTAGCGTGACAATTATTTCAAACACACAAAGCAACACTATCAGTCATGGATTCATCTCTACAGAGTCTGGACCTCAACGTTACTGAAGCAGTGTGGGATCTTGGCAGAGAGCAGAATAAAAGGCAGCAACATCCAAAGAAGAGCTTTGGATGTCCTTCAAGAACTGTTCCTGAAGACTACTTGGAGATATAACACAGTCGTAGTTTAACAGCTGATTATCTTCCATCTGCCATTACCAAGCCCAAACACCGGCTCTACAGTGGTGCCCTCTAGAGCTCAAACGCTCTGCTTACAAATAGTGTTTCTTTCTGAGGAGGTCGGATTTGTTAGTTTGTACGTAAACAAGATTGTTTTGGACACAATTAGCTTTGCCTGCAGCTCAGAAAAGATAAAAACAAGAACTGAGGGCTTGATTTTAAAAACAAAATGAGACATTAAAACACTGATTACAAAAATGCATCATGGCATTATATCACACTAGCCATTGAAGTGTACATGTAAACACACACCACAGATGGTTGAGCAGTTACTTTCTGGCAGATTTACTTAAACAATGGAAGGGTGGCCGTGCTCATCCACACCGTACAACCTTATTTAAGCTTCCAAAAATATATTTTGCAAACTTACAGCAATATTATACCGGATTAGTCTCTGCCATTCATGATAAAAGTTGTCTGATCCACTCGTCATGAGCTCCTTAATTCTGATCTCTGTGACCTGTGAGCGGGATTAAAGAGACTGTCGACAAATACAAGAGCTCAGCCATTTACACTGACGTGGCAAAAAACAGAGTCTCAAGTATCATAAAAGGGCTTAAAGAAGGCTTCTCTACAAAACTCAAGAAACTCTTGATAATAGAGGACCAAAACGTTTTAAATGATACTCTCACATAGATAATGACTTTGTTTGAATAGTCCATGTTCTTTACAACTAAATGCACAGAAACAAATGCTAATTCAAATTTTAAATAATAAAGTTTCTCT